TCGCGCGCGACACCTCCCACTTCCGGCGGCACGAGCGGAGGGGGCGAGGCTCTTCCAGAGAAAGGAGAGGCCCCGACGCTCGGCGCCGCCTCCGACAGCGCCCTCTGGCGGCGAGAGCCGGCACTGCCTAGGGAAGGCGGATCAGGTGATAGACCCCTAAGGTCTTATGGCCTCTGCGGGGGCGCAGAGAAGAGAAACGTGTGACTGCGAGAAGAAAGGCGGCCTGATGGATGCAGGCGCCCTTCTGGGAGGGTCACAGGGAGAGTCGGGGCCACGGCAGTCAGGGGGAGAAGAGGAACATGGTATGTTTAAAGGTCGGAACCGAGATGCCCTTTTCAGAGGACGCCATGAAGGAGATGCCTCAGGGAGGGACGCTGTTGAAGATGCCCAGAAGACTCGGCATCTAAGCTAAACCCAGCACCCCGCACGCCCTGGCGCTGTCCCGAGCGCCCTTTGCTCCGGCAGACAGTCGGGTCGAGAACCGGCCGCTGATTGGCTGCGGCGCCGGGCGGAAGTGATGCCGCTGTCACTGGCTCCGGCTCCCGGGAAGCCGCGAGTTTCCGCTGGGAGGCGGCGGCGGCAGCTGCGGCCCGGCCGGTGAGTTGGGAACTAGGTTGGGGTTGGACGTGGGAAGTCCCGGCGTCCCAAAAGTCGGGGGAACCGGTGTCTGAGGATGAGGGCGCTACACAGAGGGCGCCTCTGGTCGTGATATGGGGGACCCCCGCGGGACGGAACCCCAGAGTCTGGGATTCCAGGACTGTGTGGGTCCTCAAGAGGGGAGCGCGGTGCACGGAGCCGTGGAGGCCACGGAAGGGGGGATCAGTGAAACTAGCCCGGGTCCATGACCTGGCTCAGGGTGTGGAAGCTTCGAGGACAGTCACTCGGGAGTAGATTCTTGGACTTTGAATTGCCTTTCTTCTTTAACCACTCAAAGCTGCAGAGATAGGCCTAGCAGTTGGGAGTGGTGGAGTTTAAAGTTCTATGCCCGGAAGCCAGATTGATAAAAGTGCTACTGTGGCCGGGCGTGATGTAACATGTCTGTAATCTCAGCCCCGGGGAAGCTGAGGCAGGAGGATCGCTGCAGTTCAGTCTGGGCTACATAGCTCAAGGCCATCCTGAACTACATAGCAACCACCTGTCTCAAACAAACAAACCATACTGTTCTGATCCTGTAAACAGGAAGATCTTAGGTTTCTTCTTCCTCAAATCTATGGTGGGTTCTACTGAGATGGAAGGAGGCTGCCTGCTTACCTTTCTAACAGAATGGCTAAAGGGGAAGACACCTGCATATTTCGGGGCAGTGCTGGCTCCTGGCAGGTAGGGAGAAATTTAAAGAATATGCTTGGAAACCTGAGAGGAAAAGATACGGGATGGGGAATTTTGGAAGGATGTGGCGTAGATCGCCTCCCTTTCCAAGGGAGCATTCGTGATGTTTTTCTAGGATGCTTTGAGTTGTTTTCATTTCAGTGTGTGTCTGAGTACTCGGGGTGGAGATAGTAGACAGCAGAGCCCAGACACTCACATTCACTTGTCCACGTCTCCATGTTTGCCTACCAGCTCAGATTTCGCCCTTTTTGTTCTTTGAGGGCTCCGAGGACCAGGTACTTCCTTGGGTCCGTGGAACGTGGGCAGTTGGAGACTTGAGACTGAATTTGGAGCCTGGGCCTCAGTCCCAAGGCACCTGTCAAGTTAATTACAGGGATAGCTCTTTAGAGTTTATCTTTATTTTTTTTTCTTTTCTTTCTTTTTTTTTTCTCTCTCTCTCTCTCTCTAGACTTTATCGTTAGGGTTATCTTCTCTGTCATTGCCACTTCCTGCTCAGTTTTACATCCCCACCCACTCAGGCTTTTTCCTCTTTCACTGCTGGCTGCCTGCACTTCTCCAAATTGCCTACTTTCGCAGGAGGGATTTTAGTGACAGTTAAGTCCTCAGCTAGGCCACTAGAAAGACAAATGAGAAAAGGTAGCATAATAGGACAAGAAGTAAGGTCTCTGGATTTTACACTGATTTGGCCGTACTGTGTCAGATATGTTCCAGATGGACTATTTTATTTTTCTTGGTTTTTTGAGACAGGGACTGGCTATGTAGCTCAGGCTGGCCTCGAACTTGTGGCAAACTTCCTGTATCAGCCTCCCAAGTGCTAGAATTGCAGGCATGCACCAGGCTCAGGTGTGTGGCCTGATTTAGATATCTATACATGATACTTATCAGCAGGCGGTTTCTGTGGTGGCTGGTCCTGGGCCTCGTGGCCAGTCTCTACTTGATCCACTGGCTTTGGTAAGACATTATTTCTTCTGTTCCTGGGGCCCACAGGTCTACAGCCTATGCTCAGAATCAACACTACTCAGCGAAGGTGACACCTTTGCTTCAGTTGCAGAAAATGAGTGTAACGCAGTTAGCCAGACCAGGAACTCCACGTCACAGAGAGCCCAGGTAGGCATGGGGCCTGCTGAGGACAACCAGACTGAGATGTCAGCTGGGATAAGATTTCTGTCCCTTCGAAATAAGGGGGTGGGACTCTGGCAGAGGACAGTCATTGCTGCCAGTCATTCTTGGGCATAGCGTGTCCTTCCAGCCTTGTGAGCAACAGTAGCGGGAAGAGCAGCGTGGTGCCAGTGAGCAGCTGGGCGTGGCTGGGTTTCTGGTGTACTAGGGATTGGACTGTGGTACATGGGAAGGCATCAGCATCAGTACCGGCGCACACTCCACCTGCTGCCCTGCCTTGTTGATCAGAAGTAAATGTGACTAGAAAGAGGATCGAGGGTTGAGCGCTGTAAAAGGAGCAGATTGAGGGTCTCCCATGGGGCCACACCTGATGGCCCAAAGTCACCCTCTCAGTTCCTGTAGTCATCACTCTTTTGTCCCTTTTCTGTCCTTTCTCTCTGTCTGCAGCCTGCTGCTCTGATGCCGAAGGGGAGGCAGAAAGTGCCACATTTAGATGCCCCCCTGGGCCTGCCCATCTGCCTCTGGCTGGAATTAGCCGGGCTCTTCTTATTGTTTCCCTGGGTCATGGGCTTGGCAGGGGCAGGTGGGCCCAATGCCCAAGGCCCAGGGGGCCTCAGCTGGGCTGTGCATCTGCACAGCCCAGAAGGTGATCGGGAGGAAGAGCATCTGGAGCAGCAAGCAGATGCTGTGGCCCAGGCAGCAGGGCTGATGAATGCCGGGCGCATCGGAGAGCTACGGGGCCACTACCTCTTTGTGCAGCCAGCTGGGCTCAGGCAGGCCATGGAGGTGCAGGTTGTCCGGCAGCAGGTCGAGGCCGTGTTAGCTGGGCACAAAGCTGTCCACTGGCACTCGGAGCAGAGGCTGCTAAAGCGGGCCAAGCGCAGTGTCCACTTCAATGACCCCAAGTACCCGCAGCAGTGGCACCTGGTGAGTTCAGCTCTGCAGTTCTGCTTCCAGTGGGTGGGTTCTGCTGCACTTCTCTACTGGGCTTCTCACCAAATCCCTCTCCCGCCACCCCACCCTTCCCCCGAAGGGACATTTCTGGGGCCTGGGTGGTAGTTTGCCTTCAGCCTCTACTTTCCCTGTCCTCTGCCTAGAAAGTCACTGTTCTGCGGTGCTTCAGGCACTCTGGCTACAAATAGGCCACTTATTAGTTCGTGCCTCTGCTTCACGCTGTGTGCCTCAGTTTCCCACCTGTAAAAGGGAGCCTATAATTGTACCTGCCTCGTGGAATTCAGGTTAGGGTAAGTACATATAAAAATACATTATGAAGCGCTTATAGCAGTGCCTGACACATTATGGGCTCTATTACATACGTGATAACTACAAACATTGACATAATAGCTATATTGTCCAACTCTTAACCTAGCCACCATTTCACCCCAGTCGCCCAGGAGTGGTGCCAAATGTTCCTGGAGCCCACGTCTTGTGGCAGAGCTCTCACGTGACCCTCTTGGCTCTGTTACCTGTGACCTGTTGGTACATGGCATCTCCCTGTCTCTTTTTTTATTTTTTTGGTACTGGGGAATCAATCTTGGGTCCCTGTGCTTGCAAGGCAGCCAAAGGCACCACTGAGCTAAATCCCCAGCCCCCTGGCTCTTTGGTGGAAGCCAAAATGAAAAGGGGTTGCTAACTAACTTGTCTCTCTCTGGGATCTACTGTGTGTCATTTCATTCCCACCCTGTCTCTTACAGAATAACCGGCGGAGCCCTGGCAGGGACATCAATGTGACAGGCGTGTGGGAGCGCAATGTAACTGGGCGCGGGGTGACGGTGGTGGTGGTAGACGACGGTGTGCAGCACACCATCCAGGACATCGCACCCAACTATGTAAGTGGCCCAGAACCACACTCCCATCTCACGTCTGAGCCCCTTCCGTGCCTCAGTCTTATCTCACTCCCAAGTGGGCACTGAGCCAAACCAAATAGCCTGGGACGTGGGGTGGGGTGCTTTCTCCTACCCTTTCCCAGCTAGCCTTCCAGCCTGGCAGTTAGGACACAACAGGTGCTGCAGCCCCCAGGGAGAGCAACCTCAGCAGAACTTCCTGCTTCCTGTTGCTGCTCCCTCTCTGTGGAGTAAGGAGCGGCCCCCGTAGGCAGCTTCCCTCTCCACAGCTTTGGATACTTCACTCTTTCGGAAATGTGATCTTAGCCGGGCATAGTGGCACATGCCTGTAATCCCAGCAGTCGGCAGAGGCAGGAGGAGCACCATGAATTTGAGGCCAGCCTGGGCCACGTAGGCCAGCCTGAACTACATAGTGAGACCCTGTCTCCAAAAAAATAATGAAAATAAAAATAAAATGTGGGGCTGGGGATTTAGCTTAGTGGCACTGCACCTGCCTTGGAAGCACAAGGTCCTGAGTTCAATCCCCAGTACTGGAAAAAATAAATTAAATATTTAGATGTCCCGAAATCTCTCTTATCCTGGGCTTCCAAAGCCATTGTGCAGAGGGTCCATTCCTGTAATATGCATGAGAGACATTTGCCAAGAGCCACAGTGCTTCCCAGTTTTACCCCACTGTCTGCTGCTCTTATTTTGTGGCCCATGTGCTTTGCAGAGTGATGGGCTTGTTTCCCTGCCTTGGAATCCCAAACTCCCAGGTCCTTTCTCCCCCCACCCCTAGGACCCGACTTCTTCTAACCAGTGAGTGACTTACCCATTGTCCCTCAATATTTCAGAGCCCTGAGGGTAGCTATGACCTCAACTCGAATGACCCTGATCCCATGCCCCACCCGGACGTGGAGAATGGCAACCACCATGGTACGCGGTGTGCAGGCGAGATTGCTGCTGTGCCCAACAACAGCTTCTGTGCAGTAGGCGTGGCCTATGGGAGCCGCATAGCAGGTAGCTGCCAAATGAACTTGGGAGGCACAGGCCAGGCACAGTAATTGTTCCCCAACACCCCCCCCATTGTGAAAGTTCTTTATCCCACCCCCTACACACATGGCCTCATTAAAGGGTAAACTCCTAGCAGGACAATTAGCTGGTTGGTTTTTCAGTGCAGTGATGTTTCAAACATATTTTTAGCAGTACTTTATAAAACAGATGAAATGCTCTTTATGTGGGCCGGAGGTCCCCAAGCCCCACCTCTCCAGTCTCCTCTTCCCTTTTTCTGATCTGTGACCCAAGTCATCATAACATCTCCTTCCCTTTGACTATGCTGTACTTGCGTTTTCGTAGTTTACGAAGTGCCTGTCAACACTCTGGTGCCTCTTCTACCCCATGGATCTGTGCAAACTGCTCTCTCAGGCTCACCTCTCCAGCCCCCTGTCAGCCCATTCAAGAAAGCTGCATGGCCCAGTCCCCCACTGGAAACGGTTCTACGGTTCCTCTTCAATTTTTGTCCATCAGGGCAGAAAGTGAAAGGAATGAAGGCGGAGCCCTTGGAAATGATTCCCCAAAATGCTTGAGAACCTGTGGATCCAGTAGGCTGGGTGCATTCCTCTCATTCTCCAGCAGAGAGCAGCAGTCCTCTGTAGATGAGATTGCAGAGTGGGTTGTAAACCATTAGTGTTCAAGTCCCTTTTTTTTTTCATCAGTAGTGGGGATAGAACCCAGGGCTGCTCTTCCACTAAGCTACATCCTCAGCCCTTTCTGTTTTCTATTTTGAGACAAGGTCTTGCTGAGTAGCCCAGGAAGAACTCAAACTTACAATCATCCTGCCTCAGCCTCCCTCAGGGCCGGGATTATAGGCCTGTGTGACCATGTCCAGCTCCTATCCCCTTTTGAAAGCCCCAGTTGTCCTTATGTGGTCACCAAGACATGACATTCCCCTCCCCTTTTTAGAGGGGGAACAGGCATCTCTGGGACTACCACTGGTATAATGAGAACCATTTACCCAACATCTTTTATGTGTTAGGTATTGTGCTAGATGGTTCACATGATTAGGGGAGAAGATAAAAAGGGAATCACTTACCTACATTCTAGCTTTATTTTTCCCACACAGCCCCAGAATCATTACAGTCTAAGCTCCAGTATGAATAAAATTTTTTTCAAACAGCACATATATGTGGTATAACTTTAAAAGGACCAAAGAACAAATGGGAAATAAGTCTTCCCATCACCCAGTCCCCGACTTGGGGGACCAGCAAAGTTACCATTTTCTTGGGTGGCCAGTTAGTAAGAATCTGGTGTCTTCAATGCCTAGGCATCCGAGTACTGGACGGGCCACTCACAGACAGCATGGAGGCTGTGGCATTCAACAAGCACTATCAGATCAATGACATCTACAGCTGCAGGTGAGGCAGAGCTGCAGGTGAGGCAGCACAGGTGAGAGGGCAAGAGGGTGGAGCACCTGGAATGAATCCTCCCAACACAAGGACAGCAAGATGGACTGACTCAGGCAGGTCCACATGGGCCCCTTATTCAGCTAATAAGGCCACTGCCCTCATTTCTCTAGAGCCCCAACCACTGGGTGCTCAGTCTTAAACTTTTGTCACCCCAGTAATTGGGTTGCCACAAGAGTGCCCCAGCCTGTCACACAGTTGTTTATTTTCTAAACTCACAAAGCTTTCTTCAACCAAGGTAAGCTGAATCCCAGTGCCAGTCTCCACCACCCTGCGGCCTGCAACTTCAGGCTGTGGCTCTGGTGGACCAGATAAGGAGGAACTGGGGTAGGTGGCTCCCATGGTATTGTTCCTGCCCCGAACTGCTACCTCTTATATCCTTGATATCATCTACAAGGCATTTCCTCTCAAAGAACAGAATTCCTCAGCCTGAGAACCAAGAACTAACCCATATAGAGCATCCCTTCATGGGTGCCTTGCCATCAAACCCAGTGGTGATCCCTGGGTCTCCTAGGACTGACCCCGTTCTGCTCTATAGCTATGTACTATCTCTTGTCAGTGGGACCTGAGCATCAGAGCTCAGGGTCAGAATAAAGGTCAGATTAAAGAAGTCCTACACTGGGAACATTTCCAGGGAAAGGAAGAGCTTTAGTGCAGTCTTCTATTTTGCAGTTTGGAAAAGGGCCAGACCTTGGAAGCCTATGTTTTCCCATAACAGAATCCTAGTGCAGGGAATGTAGCTCAGTGGTAGACTGCTTGCTTAGAGAGGTAGTGTGCTGGCAGCCCTGGGTCAGTCCCCAGCACCCACAAAAAGGAAAAAAAAATCATGGCAGTCCTGAACTGAAACCCTTGGGAAGAGAGTAAGAGCCACAGACAGGGTAACCAGCAGAGACTGGGAGACCCTGGGTGGGTAGGGGCCCTGGCTCTGGTTCTTCCCTATGGCTATTTCTCCACAGCTGGGGTCCAGATGATGATGGGAAGACAGTAGATGGCCCTCACCAACTTGGAAAGGTAACTGACTGGATGGAGATTAGGAGACCTGGCCCTAGAAAAACTCCTACAAGGCCATCCCTCTTTGCACCCCTCCCCCAGCTGCCTCCTTTCCGGAAGTGTACACCGAACCAGGGCCAGCAGGTGGTGGACACAGGTCTTAGAGTGGGACATGGAGTCATGTTTTCAGCTTGCTTCCCTTGGATCTTGTTCTTAGCTCTCATTCCTGGCCCCACTCTCGTGTGATAAGCAGAGTACATCCATCCAACTTTGCTCAACTCTAAGCTCCCTCCCCATCTTGAACCCTTCTGTGAATCCCTTTCCCCAGTGCCCAGTACCCTTTGAACTTTATTTCCTTTTGCTTTCTAGAAGGGGTGGCAGGAGTGACTGGTGTGGTAGGTAGGGGTCTCTCCATGAGCTTGTCATCTTATACCCCGCCTTTTTTGTTCCACAGGCTGCCTTGCAGCACGGGGTGATGGCTGGCCGCCAGGGCTTTGGGAGCATCTTCGTGGTGGCCAGTGGTAATGGGGGCCAACACAATGACAACTGCAACTATGATGGCTATGCCAACTCCATCTACACCGTAACCATAGGTAGTGATGTGACGTGTGTGTGTGTGTGTGTGTGTGTCTTCATATAACTGAATACTTGTGCAAAAGGGCATCACTTTGGGCTGGAATAGGACTAGGCCTGCTCTCCAAGATCTCAAGACTTCTCTGGGAACACTTTGAACCATTCCCTGCTTCCATCCCCACCGTGACTAGTCAGGTCTTTGTTGTGGCTTCTCTTTCTATGGGGCCCTTGCCTTCTGCTTGAAGCCTTCCCTAATTCCTCACTAGCCTAGATTGAGTGCCCTTTACCTCTGTTCCCAGACATAGGACTTGTCACTCCATCTATAATTATTTACTTACCCAACTTCCTGCCTGACTATAGACTCCTTGAAATCAATACGTGGCATTTTCCATATGGCAGATGCTTAGCAAATATTAAGAAAAAAAAGACTAAGTATAGAGGTGGAAAGCCTTCACTTTTGTCCTGGAAACTACTCAAAACATGTTTTGTTTTGTTTTCTTTTTTTTTGAGACAAAGTCTTGCTAAGCTGCCCAGGCAGGCCTTGAACTTGCAGTCCTCCTGCCTCGGTCTCCCCAGTAGTTGAGATTACAGGAATGTGATGTGCCACCAGGCCTGACCAGCTCAGACTACTTTTTAAGCTCAAGGCTGCCCCTAAGAGAGAGTCACAGCCAGCTCCAATGTCATTAGGTCCCTACTGCAGAATCAGCTTGTCATCTCAGCTCCCACTTTCCTTCCTGGTGCCAGGTGCTGTGGATGAGGAGGGACGGATGCCTTTCTATGCGGAAGAGTGTGCCTCCATGCTGGCGGTCACCTTCAGTGGTGGGGACAAGATGCTCCGGAGCATTGTAAGTGCTGTGGGCCTCGTGACCCTGCCCTGTCCCAGAGGTCTTCTCTTAGGCATCAATGTGTTTCTTTTCCCTTCCTGCTTCCCTGTCGTGCCCCTCTGCTCCTCTGCCATGGAAGATTTGAACCTCTTAAGGCCTCTGTTGGGAGACCACTGAGGGCTCTGAATAAACTGTGCGAATGACTTTGATCTCAAAATTTTTAACTTGAAACAAATACACACATTGTTATAGAAACAAGTACAGTGATTTAACAGCTCCTTTGAAATGCCTTCCTATGGTAGAATCTGGGTGTTGGCTTCTTGCTATGGACTTAAAAATAGAGCCTCATGGCATTGCTATTCAAGCTTATGTGAGTACTGAGTCCTGTCATGTCTATCCTCAGGAGCAGAGTAGCTAGTTGTCTTTACGGGATAGGCGGGAGAGTAACCAGAGGACTGGCTTGTGTCAGTGTGGCAGAGCTCTTGCCTAGAGCTATAATTGGAGCCATGGCATGGAGACTGGAGCAGGAACCCCTGGAGGCCTGGAACCTACCTATGCTGGGCTCCATCCCAGCGGGTTTAAGCCAAGTCTCTGGGCCTCAGAACTGGCGCTCCATATATGTTCCTGTGGCCCACAGCAGAGTAACTGGGGACCAGAGACTCCAGGCAAGAGCTATGCTGCCACCAACTGGTGTCAGATTTCTCCAGTGACTGAGTTGGGAGGGCTTTCTGGGGCCACTGGGATTTAGGCTGCTTTGTCTTCCTGCAGGGTCAAGTTCATTTTCCAAAACTAAAATTTTGTTATGCCAGTAAATGACTTCTGGTCAACACAATGTTCCAAGGCTCTGTGCCTGTTGACCCCTACTCCCTGCTCCCTCCCACCCTTCCCTGCCTCTGGGAGTGGACTGAAGTGAAAAGCCAGGGCGCCTGGGTCAGCCTTGGAGAGGAGGAAGAGCAGGAAGTATTCATCTTCACTCCCTGGTGAAAGGGTCCCGTTTCACCCATGCTCCAGCCCCTCAGAAGGCTCCAGAAAAGAATGGTCACTGTTGCTCCGCAGTGCCTATCTTTTCCTTTCCAAACTCAGCTCCTCTTCTCGCCCTCTCCCCAGCCTTCCATCCAAACTATAATTTGGCCAGAAATGAAAAGAGTTTACGTAGCCAAGTTCCCATCTTTGGAACAGCCTTGCTTTGGGAGCCTCTGTTGCCAGTTTCTGCCTGATGCCCTGGGCAGCTGGGTGGAGCTGTCTCTGAGGGCAGAGACAGGACATATGCTTCCCACAGTATGGCCACCTAAGAGCTCGCCTGGCCTCCCTAGGGCTTCACGGGGCTCCTGCCACTGTGGGCAAGTTCACAGCCGCACACTAGACTGTTACCATGAGCCCGTTTCCTTAACAGGAAAAAATCAATCTGCTCCCTGGCACAGACCCGGCTTCCCACTCTCGTTAAGACTGCAACTTGGAAAGTGTTTTTCCTTTTCCTTCTGGGAGTACACAGTGTTGGTGAAAACTGCATCTCTTGGCAGCTGCTATAACAGCTAGGAGGGAAGCAATGAGTACAATGGAGAAAAGGCAGCTCTTGGCAGAAGTTGGCACCCTGGTATCTGACCCAGAAGAGAAGTTGAAAGAAAGGAAGTCTCCGGACCTGCGCCAGCATCGCAGTCTAAGGATCCAAGTGCCACATAGGGAGCAGTTTGAGGCAGAGCCCTCCTCAGCCAAACTCTTTCAGGCTCTGGCATCAATGGGATATGAAAAGAACTTGATGCCAGGCAGATGCCATCTCTGCCACTCGTATCTTGCCTCAGAACCACAGGTGGGAAAGGGCTGCTCCTGGAAACCCACCTAAGACACCGGCCAGAGCAGACAGGCAGCTCATCCTGTGTGTGGTCAATAGAGCAAGGGCAAGCAGGCCGCACAGACACTGAGCTGACCCCAGGGCAGCTGAGTGCACACAACACTGAGCTGCCAAGTTGGAGCTGGTGCCATTCTGTTGTCCCAGCTGCAGCTGAAGCCCAGTAGCTTCCTGATCACTTCCCCTTGAGGGCACTGGAGAGGGGAGGGAGGACTGGGTACAGAATTGGGGGCATGGAAGCAGGAAAATTAAAGTAGTGAGAAGCAGCAACGTAGGCAGTACCCAAGTCCCCTGGCATGTCTCCATCTTTTTGCCCCTACAACCTTGCCCTCAGAAGCCTCTCTCTCTCTCTCTCTCTCTCTCTCTCTCTCTCTCTCTCTCTCTCTCTCTCTCTCTCTCTCTCTC